CCTGCAATTGTTACTTGTGAAGAAGTGGCAAGAAAATGCTACAACACTCTCTTGGTAACAGAGAGTGGTGGGAATAGGAGATTCAGAGCTCAAGAGTGACACTTGACAGAGGAGGAAGTGAATAGGATGGTGAATAGGATGGTGGTGGAGTTAGGAGGAAAAAGGATGGAAAAAGGTCCACAAAAGGTGAAGAAGAGGAAAGTTAAAAGAGTGAAGACTTTGAGAACCTGAGCTAAAGAATATTAGAGTATATCCAGGAGTAGATGACCGTGAGACAGGCAGAGACATTAGGAAAGAAATGTAAAGGAGTAAAGAAAGAAAGCATCATCAGCAAAAAAAGGAAATCTATAGGGAGGAGATGGGAGGACTCAGGATGAATGTGTAGAGAGGGCAGAATGATACATAGGACAGAACCTTAGGAGACACCAGACTTCACACTGCCAGCAGAAGCGATATGTCTAATCAGTGAGGTAGGAGGAAACCTATGCTTGAGCAGTGCCAGAAATTCCTAGGTAGTGAGGCCTGACAGAAAGAAGAATAGTGTGATCTACAATGTAAAAAGAGGCCAAACGATCAAGAAAGATTAAGGTGAAAAGAGAGGCAGCTGCGTGAAGAGAACTAGTAACAGAGAGAACATGTTTGGCCTTCAGTGCTGAGAGAAATCTGGCTAGAATGAGTCAGTCAGCAAGTACTGCAGGAAGAGGTGTAAAAGGGAGCCTGGTGGTATTCCCATTCAAATGACACATTTTTAAGTTTCTTGGTTTGAATTTGAATGAATGGGTGTCTTAAAAATTTAGCCTCTGAATATTTTTTATTTGTAATATGAATGTCTTCTGCAACACAAAACTTCAACTTCAACTATGCAAGCGTGCATGATACTAATCAGCTGTAAGTAAAGAAAACAGTATATGAGCTTTGGCTTTGGACATCTATTTCTGTAATCTTTTCAGTCAGTCTTGCAATTCAGGTTTGTGTTTCTGTCAGTTGGCATGCATGTGTGACTGAACTTGGTCAATAGAAATGTTGTTTATATACACTTGAGCACAATTACAATACTATATACTGTATATTTACTTTTTTATACTTTGTGAATCAAATTTATTGTAGACAATGTTTTCTGTAATATTTAATTTACCTCAGTTTTAATTGTTTTACAGAAAGTTTTCTTTAAAATATCAATAAATTATGTATCAAATATATTAATATAAAAAAAGGCTGAAGCTGAAGCACAACTATCACAAATTAGTTATCCTGAGTGTCATGTGTTGTTATGTTTTGTAGTGTTTTTACAAATGGGGATATCTTGGTTCCTCCAGCTCGAATACTAATACCAAAGTATACCCTGAGAAACTGGGA